TAAAAAAAATACTGAATTACAAAAAACATTTAAAAAAACAAACATGTTTCGTTGATTTATATACAAAAATGAATATTAGGAACTATATTTATCAAACATTATACTGGGCAAGTAAAAATTGTTTCTGGGCAAATAAAATGTAACTTTTTGCCCAAAGGGCAAGTGGTAAAAATCCTTAACGTCAACTCCTGCTAAAGGGATAAACTGGTATTGACTATAGGTATGCTGGTCTGACCGGGTATGCTCATCTGACAGAACAGCGGCACGCTCAGCGGCCCAAAAGCCAAACCAAAGCCTTTGTATTACACAAAGGTTGGCGTGGATGTCTTGGATCAGATGATTAGAAAGTGCTCTGTAAAAGCTCTAAGGTGGCCTGAGGCTGTCGTTTACAATCTACTGGGCATAGCAGCTATAAACGCGTTGGTTTTGTTCAGGAGCTGTTTGGACGTCACCGCCTCATGCAGAAATTTTAGCCTAGAACTGGTAAACCAAAGCGCTTCAGAGCCAGCTTTGGCGAGGCAAAGAAAACAGTGCCAGGTGCATCAGCGCTGCAAAAAAACCAAAGCAAACGCTCATATGATGTTTATCATAAATGTACAATGATGGTTTGTGAGAAATGTGCAGGGGGGAATCAATCCATTTCTGTAAATGTCATTTCAAACTTTGAACCTCTGTAGTAAAATAGTCCTATTTATATTACTGGTTTATTTTTAATACACATACTCTACAAATAATGACAGCCTATAATAAAGCCTTTAAAAGACACATATTAGACCTGTTTTAAGGTCTAAATATCCACAATGAGTTTGTATGGCACAGTAGAACCATTTCAGTGGATGACATCCTACTCTTGCATTTCCATTGGGAAAAACGCCACCTGTGGGAGGGCTAGTAGGATCAGGATTCTGGGAGCCCTGGTGTTAAATGATCAGGTAACTCTACTCAGTTGCATCCAGTTCGTCTTTGAAATATTAAAATACATCTTACTGTGACTGATATCCAGTCAGTTTGTTTCCCTTCTCATACTTGCAGAATCCAGGTTAGTTACCCAAGCCTGTCCGTCCCCACAGGTAAACAGGTATGTACCTGTAGACTATTATATCATTGCAATAAACGTTCTCCCCACTAAAGCTGGTCAAAAGTACTTCTAGATAAAAAGGATTTCCCTTGAGTGAAGATCTGTTACTTTGTCTTTATATTACATATATATACTGCCGTTAATCAGCAGATTGGTGCTGGCTGCATTCTCTGCTTGCATGTTCGACATCATTTAATGGGAAAGTGATAAACCTGGCAGACATAAGGCGGATTTCATTCCACTAAACAGGCATGGCTCGGCTCAGGCTCCACTGGCACAGTCGCCACTAGACAGCTAGGTCCCTCTAACATGCTCCTGAATCTATTAACCCCAGCCGGTTAAACCACTGAAAGAACACATGTGTACCGCACACATACTCCCCGTTCTGAATTTCAAAACGTATCTGAGCACCTAAAGCAGCTGATGAGCCAGTCTCCATCATTAGGCCACATAAATAAACCCTCTTTACTTTTGTTACGGGTGCAAAAACCACCACTCATGATAATAATACAAAGAAAACTATTATGTTGTGATATGATCTTGAATATCTACAGACCTGATACCAGAGCTCCGTTTGCTTTTAGGTTATAATCATAGCTGATGGGTTATGGCGATGAGGTTTTTATAAAGTTATCCTGAGCTATCTC